AACAAAAATATAACAAAATTATAACATAAAAACTTGCCTAGACATTTTCTTACTTCAAGTTGCCCAGTTTACAGAGAAACGCCCATATATATATATATATATATATATATAAGGGCAGATCCATTACTTTTCGACAAAAGTGTGCGGGGGTAAGTCACCGATTTGGCTGCCGATTTTTTTCTCGAAAGTAGGTCATATAAGGAGACGATCCTGAAAATTTGAGCTCGATATAGGTAATTCCGGCTGCAAGAAAATTTTTTGAAATATAAAAAAAGTCGATTTTTTAGTCATTTTCAAAAATTCGTATCTCAGCTCCTATTTAACTTAGAGATTTGATCAAGACGGCATTTTTTTCTGTTATCCCTCTATTTTCAAGAAAAAAATAGGATTTAAGTTTAAACTCAAATCCGGCTAAGCTGTACGCCTCCAAATAGAACACTGCTTAAGATAAATTTTGCCAATTTTTAAAGTGCTCTCAAATCTACAGTTTTTGAAGCAGTGAAATAAATGACAGATGATATTTTTCGTTAAGGTATACTCTGTTGGAATTTACCCATTTTTTACTTGATTGCTTCGATTTTTCTAATGTATGGCCACTCAAAGACAATTGATTTTTGAAAAATCGCTGTTTTCAGATACCTACAACTTTTTTCTATCGATCCGAAATTCTTTGATAATTTCAGGGATTATACTTTATTCTATCCCCAAACAACCCATCAAAACTTTTCCTTGGGTATTGAAGTGGTTTCCGAGCTATGAATTTTTAAAAATGTCAAATTTTCAATATAATATGACATTTTTGGTAGTTTTATTATAAGTTAAATGAATTATTCGTAATAAATTAATTGATATGTGTCGGTAAGCATTAAATTAATTATCATTATAGGCTGGCTGCACATTATGAACAAGGTCTAATGGATTATTGACTAAAGTATTACTATACGACATTTTTGGTAGTTTTATTATAAGTTAAATGAATTATTCGTAATAAATTAATTGATATGTGTCGATAAGCATTAAATTAATTATCATTATAGGCTGGCTGCACATTATAAACAAGGTCTAATGGATTATTGACTAAAGTATTACTAATAATTCAATTAACTGATAATAAAACTACTAAAAATGTCATATTATATTGAAAATTTGACATTTTAAAAAATTCATAGCTCGGAAACCACTTCAATACCCAAGGAAAAGTTTTGATGGGTTGTTTGGGGATAGAATAAAGTATAATCCCTGAAATTATCAAAGGATTTCGGATCGATAGAAAAAAGTTGTAGTTATCTGAAAAAAGCGATTTTTCAAAAATCAGTTGTTTTTGAGTGGCCATACAGAGAGAAATCGAAGCAATCAAGTAAAAAATGGGTAAATTCAAACAGAGTATACCTTAACGAAAAATATCATCTGTCATTTATCCCACTGCTTCAAAAACTGTAGATTTGAGAGCACTTTAAAAATTGACAAAAATTATCTTAAGCAGTATTTTATTTGGAGGCTTGCAGCTTGAGTTTAAACTTAAAACCTATTTTTTTCTTGAAAATAAAGCGATAACAGAGAAAAATGCCATCTTGATCAAATCTTTAAGTTAAATAGGAGCTGAGATATGAATTTTTGAAAATGACTAAAAAATCGTCTTTTTTTATATTTCAAAAAATTCTCTTGCAGCCGGAATTACCCATTCGAGCTCAAATTTTCAGGATCGTCTCCTTATATGACCTACTTTCGAGAAAAATGAACAAGGTCTAATAGATTATTGACTAAAGTATTACTAATAATTCATTTAACTGATAATAAAACTACCAAAAATGTCATATTATATTGAAAATTTGACATTTTTAAAAATTCATAGCTCGGAAACGACTTCAATACCCAAGGAAAAGGATTTCGGATCGATAGAAAAAAGTTGTAGGTATCTGAAAACATTGATTTTTCAAAAATCAATTGTCTTTGAGTGGCCATACATTAGAGAAATCGAAGCAATCAAGTAAAAAATGGGTAAATTCCAACAGAGTATACCTTAACGAAAAATATCATCTGTCATTTATTCCACTGCTTCAAAAACTGTAGATTTGAGAGCACTTTAAAAATTGGCAAAATTTATCTTAAGCAGTGTTTTATTTGGAGGCGTACAGCTTAGCCGGATTTGAGTTTAAACTTAAATCCTATTTTTTTCTTGAAAATAGAGGGATAACAGAGAAAAATGCCGTCTTGATCAAATCTCTAAGTTAAATAGGAGCTGAGATACGAATTTTTGAAAATGACTAAAAAATCGACTTTTTTTATATTTCACAAAATTTTCTTGCAGCCGGAATTACCTATATCGAGCTCAAATTTTCAGGATCGTCTCCTTATATGACCTACTTTCGAGAAAAAAATCGGCTGCCAAATCGGTGACTTACCCCCGCACACTTTTGTCGAAAAGTAATGGATCTGCCCATATATATATATATATATATATATATATATATATGTATGTATTAGTAGTTTTTCGGGATCTGCTCCGTGTTGTCGGTTTTTGGTTCTTAAAAGAACCGTATGTCTGACGACGTTTCGGTATATATATATATATATATATATATATATATGTTCTGTTAGGTTTCCACGGAAGAATTGAGCAAAAATTTAACGGCCAGTTAAGTGACATCAAGGCCCCGATTAAACAATAATGTTTTTATGTTAGATGCCAAACGCAATCTTAATATTAAGTTCAACAGTTAGAACTACCAAACTGTATGAAAATCGCAGACAGTGGGCGCGAAAATTTCTCTGTATTCTACACTTTTAGTGTCAATGGGTATACCTTTAATCGCGACTGCTTTATTAAAACCAGTGCGTAAACCAAGTTTATGTTCCACTTCGGATCAAAAATCGAATCAAATATTGTTAAGAATCCAGTAAAAAGATTGGACTGCCGATAATTTAATAGCAGCAGAAGGCAACCAATAAAGAGGCAAAAATACAGATTTTTACATCAGCGCGCTGCAGCGTCTATCAAATGGTTGGCCGAAAACTATGATTAACTGGATCCCTCAAAAAATTCTGCCCAATCTTTATACACTCAGGTTGTTACACAAATCCAGAAATTCTACTAGTGCACAGTGGGGCAGGATCTTAAAAAGTTGTCATTAAATGAAAAAATTAAGCAGTATATTTTTAAAGTAATTTACTTTATTTCAATTGTTGTTGTTTCCAACAACGATTTTTTTTGTGCGTTTTAAAGCTTATTTACAGAGCGCGTTTTTAGTGGCTAAGACACGTGGCTTTTATTTGCGTTATTCGATTCGTTGTTTTTTGTGTTGACAGTGTTAATTTAACTTAATCAGTACAGTTTGTGATGGAGGCCTCAAGTTTAGGTATGTGGCGATATTTTACTATATTTAAACTAATGATTAAGCAAATGTGTTTTTTCATATCTTGTGTTAAAATTAGCTATTGTAATAGTTATTTACGTGTCAAGCTTTGTAAATTAATCTTTACGGGCGAGCTGGAGGTTTGTGTAATCCTGCGAGCCTAGTAAAGATTTATTGCAAAGCGTGACACGTATAAACTTTTATTATCACCTTTATATAATGATTTTCAAATTTAAAATTTTAACTAATATGTAAAATATGTCATTTCATTTCATAAATTGCTTTTTTACAAGCCTGTAAAACTTAACAGGTCTTTTATACAAGCCCGTAAAATATTACAGGTCTGTTCCCATAATGTATCGTTTCCTTGGATACAAAAACAACAAAATTAACCTATTAAATGTCATTTACCAAGAAGGTGGAAATAAAATACTTTTATTTTTACTTTATTCCTAAGTATAGCGAGATATAACTAGATAGAACAAGCACACGTGTAGTGGTAATCAGTGGAGTCACAGTATAACATTTAACTGGACATAATTTCGCCGGCATTATTATGTTCAATTTTACTTTTTAAGTGTCTTGTCAGGTAGGTCTATTTGATATGATTATTATGAAAACATAATTAAATTAATTAAGAAGTATATTTGGGGAGGGGGGGATCGCTCCTGTCCCCCTCCCAAAATCTCCATTTTATTGTAATTTGTTCTAAATGGCCGCCGCACATACAAGTATTTGCTCGATCTACGCGGTCAAAAGCCCCAATATCAAAATTACAATAACATTGTTATAAACGAGATCCACGAACAGAGAACGAACCAGGGAACAATACCGTTACTCTATCTACCTGTTACCGCGCACCCCGCACCCGTAGCGTTAATCAGAAGTTGACAGTTTCACCTAGTGTAAGTTCTGTTTTTGGCGTTTTTCTAAACGTCAAACTTCCAAAGTGAATTTGTATGTTATCAAGTTCTTCTTACGAATTGAAAGTGATGGATTCTGATAAACAAGGTAAAAAAGTTACAAACTACATTGATTAAGTCATGATCTACTATTAAACAACATTACTTTTTAAAAAATGAAAATACTAATTTTCGTACCGTGATTTCCTTCAATATTTTTTCTTTACTAGTGTTTTTGTTTATGTATCGGGGTAGATCGGGCTATGGCTATTATTATAGGTTTTTATTTTATCTTTTTCCTTATAACTACTATTAAAAACATCTCCGGAAACATCCGGATAAATACAGTTTTGAGGGATTAAAGATATTTAGCAAAATTTCGTATAGAATTGGAAATATTTGTTAGCCACTTTTAACACAGTGTATGTTTGTTTTAGGCTCAGAGGGTGCATCGGAAGTAAGGATTGTGACCCGACAATACCTGTTTGACCACATGAATAAAGAAAATTTGCCTAATTTAGATGCCAAATTAAACTTTCTAAAAGATCAACTTATGTCAAGTGAAGGTTATAATGAAGACCAAATTTTTTATTTGAAACGTAGTTTTGCCAATTTCAAATCAGAAATTAAACAAAGGTGGACCAAATCTCATTATAAAGAAGATAATTTCATGAAATACAATCGGTGTTGGCTGGCAGGTACTTTTAAAATACCTGTTGTTAAGACATCACAAAAACGGACAGGTCGACCATCCAACTCGTTCGAAGATTTAAGTGAGAGGAGCAAAAGGCGAAAGACGGAAGAACTTCGTTCTAATTTTGATAAGGAGATCATAATACATGCTGCGAAAGTGGAACTGGGAAAATCTGGAAAAAAAGATGCATCAAATGTCCTAAAAGATATCACCAGTTCTCCGACACGAGCAACTAAATATAAAAAAGCATTTTATCTTACGAAATCAAGTAAAGAGCAACCCTCCTTGACACCAATGCAAGCTTTGCAAATGTTTATTGATGCCGATGTGACACAAGGACAGTACGAAATTATAAGAAAGACCAATAAGAAGTTTTTTCCGTGCTATAGTGCCTTACAAAAAGCCAAGTCGATTACGGTAACGAGTACCAGTGCCGAAGCTCAGTTACAGCCTCTAATGGATGTTACCGTTAGGCGTTTATCAGAGTACCTAGAAGAGGTATTGATAACTTTAAAGGAGCAAGAGCGTAAATGCCCAACTATAATTAATAAATGGGGCTGCGATGGGTCCCAACAATCACAGGCAAGCAAAAACTAGAAAGGGATACCGATTCTGATTCAAACATATTCCAAAGCTGCTTCGTGCCTCTTCAATTAGTTTGTGGAGATAACAATGAAAAAGTTTTATGGAATAATCCAACGCCCTCTTCGCCGCGATTTTGTCGACCAATAAGATTCCGTTTTATCAAGGAAACTAATGATGTCACTGAAGAGGAAATAAGACACGTTAAAAGCGCTATAGCTCTTTAGTCCCAACAGAGGTCGAAATAGCAGAGAAAAAGTTCTTAATTAAGCACACATTTATAATGACCATGGTAGATGGAAAGGTCTGCAATGCAGCCACAGGCACAAAGTCTACAAGTAGGTGCTACATATGTGGACAAACCTCAAAAGATTTTAATAAATTGGACTATATAAGAGATGTGAATTTTACAGCCCTTGAATTTGGCATATCGGTGTTACACGCCAGAATTCGAACATTTGAATTTATCCTACATTTAGCCTACAAACTGAAAGTGAAAAAATACAGGGAAAATCGAAAGAGGAGAGAGACCTAGAAGATCAAACCAAAAGAGAGATACAAACAAGGTTCCGCACTGAAACAGGTCTTATAGTAGATATGCCTAAATCGAATTTCGGGAATACAAATGACGGAAATACCAGCAGAAGGTTCTTTGAAAACCCCAGATTAGCTGCAGAAATAACTGGCATCAGCTATGAGCTAATTTACAGACTAAAAGTCATATTGGAAACAATTTCAAGCGGGTTCAAAATTGATCCAGTAAAATATGAAAGATATGTTTTAGAAACTGCTAGTGTTTATGTGAACCTATATGATTGGCATCCTATGACGCCAACAATGCACAAGCTTTTGGTCCATGGCGCAGTCATCATCGAAAAGGCTTTATTACTAATCGGACAGCTTTCCGAGGAAGCAGCTGAGGCTCGCAACAAACATTTCAGATGTTATCGCCAAGATTTTGCGAGAAAATTTTCCAGGGAAAATTGTAATCAGGATATTTTTAACCGCCTTCTACTTAATTCAGATCCCGTGCTAAGTAGCATGCGAACTGTAAAAAAAAAGAAAGCAAAAACGTTTTTGCCTGAGACCCTGGCCATGTTTGTATCTGCAGAATACAATATATCAGAAAATTCATCAGAGAGCGACGAAGAAAGTTAAGAAACTTAGTGTTATTATGTTTTTCTTCCTTTTTACTGACCTAAAAATTTGTATTTTTTTTGAAAATACATAATTTTGTTGTAAAAATAGTTTTTTTTATTTATTTGCGTTATTTAGATACCAATTAAGCATAAAAATAATTTTGGCCGCGTAGATCGTGTATGTGCGCCGTTTCAAGATGGCGGATTACCTTTTTCTTTACAACCTGATATGGGTATTAAATAAAAGGTTTAATGGTCATACTAAATTTAATTTGGCGGCCGCATCAAGATGGTGGTTTATCTATTTCTTCTAAACCTCCTTGACATGGGTATCAAATGAAAGGGTTTGATAAGTATAAAACGATAAGATGAGTGTCAGTGAGTGACTTAATACAAAACATTCAATGACAACTTTTTAAGCCTTTTTGCCCCACTGTTGAGTGGGACGAATATGCCAGGAAAAGATTGCATCTTAATTCAAAGAGATGACCTAAAATAACGGGTGCAAAAGAGACTACCACAATTTAGGTATTAAAATGAGTTGGTAAAAATTCACCAAGTTGCGACTAGCAACTGTCGTTTGCGGCAGGCACAATGTTTGGGTGTGAAAAATTAATCAAAATATAAAATTAGGAATCCATTGATTGAAAGGGGGAAGTTTATTTATTGAATTAAAAAGTAATGTTTTGGAATATAATTTTGTAAAAATCTAAAAAAAGATGATATGATTTTACGACGGTTGTGCTCCTCAGTATTCACAAATTAAATTTTAATCTCACAAATCCATTTTTTCAAGAATTAAATTTTGGGATCAAATGCGAGTGACATTTTTTGCTACTTCTTACGGCGAAGGTAATTGCAATTTGTCTTAAAAGCGTGATAAAAATTTAAAAAACATTGTTTAAACAAAATGTTGTAAAACTGCATTAAATGTCTTATAAAAATATATATTTTTTACCTGTGTTGCACCTACTCTCTAAAAATGAATTACTCAAAAATGACTGGTTACTACAGTTAACCATGGGATACCATGGTATCCCCAATATGTAACAGCCAATTCTTATATAAAATTTTCCGAAATTACCGTCAAAAATGATTCCGAAAATACCGTCAAAAATTATTAAAGTAATGCAATTTTTAAGATATACTGGGTCAATTCCATATTATATGGAAAATTGTTCTACTTTCCTAACTTTTGATGACATTTTTGGATTCAGGGAACAATTATGCATGAAAATTGTTTTTTAAATGTTCGGGATACAAATTGCTATTGACGAGAACTCTTAGTGGCTGCCTTTTTGGCTATCACAATTTAGGCGTGGAAGTACCAAAAGGGGTATGTGTCATTTTTTGTAGTTGAGATTTTTCTTTAGAAACATAGTAAGGGTACATACTATGTTTTTTAATGAAAAATCTCAACAAAAAAATGGCACATACCCCCTTTGGTACTTCCACGCCTCAACTTTTGACTAATTTATTTTTAGAGAGTAGGTATACCTACTCTCTAAAAATAAATTAGTCAAAAATTAAGGCGTGGAAGTACCTTATAAGGTAATGTACAGTGTGCATAAGTACTTAAAATTAATTCTTACCTCATAAGTAGCAGTTGAGCAAAAAATCCATGTTGTAAAAAATGCTACCAAATGTAGTTTCATGTTTTCCTAAAAAATAATAATAAATAAATTTAATGGTATAATTTTTGATGAAAGGTTTGTGTGTCATCTTTTGGAACAAAAATAATATATTTTTTCTACTTCTATAACGGAAAATAACCGTTATAATATCACTTTTTAATGTGGAATGATATATATATATTTCTTAAAGTATTACAGAATGAAATATTTTATCATCGGATGACGGAATAAATACTGGTGGTGACATCTCTGTGTTTAATATATAACAAATATTAGACCACTCCAACCTCACTTTCTCCCAATTAAATTATTTTGCTATGGTATTTTTTGGAAACGTAGAAAAAGTAAAATCTAAAACACGTTTGGAATTGCAAATTTCGCTCTCGTGAAACCGTCAAACTCGCCTTCGGCTCGTGTGAGAAACTTTTCACTCGAGTGGAATATGCCGTATTCCAAAATTGTTACAGAATAAACTATTATAGTATCGTTTACAAAAAAAATTAAATAATGCTGATTTATTTTAATATTAGAAAAACTTATAATTTCGTTATTATAATTATAGTTATCGTTACATACAAAAAAAAAGTTTATATAAGAAGTCCCATAAGCCAACTGAATGGCTTGTGCGGGTTAGGGGTAGGAATGGACCGCGCGATTAAAGTCCCCTCCGAAGGACTATTACACAATAGGACAAACACAAATAAACAGCCATACCCCTGGTGGGATTCGAACCCACGACCTCCGGCTTGTAGTCAGCAGCACTAACCACTCGTCCACCGTCGGCGGTTAATTTGAAAAATGTCCTGTAACTAAGGACAATAAAGGATAAATTGATTTATAAGGTATGTACAAGGGGCTAGAGATATGTGAAGTTCACATCTATAGGTATATAATATACATTGTATATACTATGTAATTTAAATTATAACATAATTTTAGGGCGGCGGTGAAATAAATAGAGGTTTACAAATGTATTCATTTATGCAAAGGCGGAAGTAGTAATGCTCGTCGCGTCATACGTCGCGACGCCCGCAAGGGGAGTGCATAATTTGGCAACTGCGTAATTAATTTACCACTCCAGGAATTTACACTTACTTACTTTATCTACAACACAACATTTTTAAATTTTTTTGAATTTTTTTAATTTGACATTGTCAGTTACGACAATTATTTATATATTACTTAATTTCGTCACCATAATGTTAGTAATAAACCAAACAAGCAAAGATTCCCTAGCACAACTGTTATGTAACTAACCACAACTTTACCCCATAAAAATCTGTGCGATTTTTCTATAGGTACCTACGCTAAAGAAGCATCAGGTTTTCGCAAGGTGGTGTTCGATAGCATTGTGTGAATTCAAGAATTATCATCATATATTGTTAAAGCATACGAACTGCACATCATATTTAAATAAGTAGTTTTTCACAAAAGAGAGGAAGGCAGAAGTCTTACTCGACAAATTTTGTTCGATTGCACAGCTAAATCGCGCACGTTTTATTGTATTTCTCGTTGCAAGTAAAAACTAAATCGTTGCATTTTCATGTTTTGAAAAAGGATCCAATACAGTACGTATATTTGTTGGTGCAGAATTAACTAATGCTAACTTTGCCTAATATAATTTATATTTTTACGCAGACAACTGCATTTTAAGTGGAAAGTTTCTTAATCAAGAATTAAAATGCTAAATGTTGTTTGAATTTGGACGACTTATTTGTTTTATGATTTTTACTGAATTGAAATGTTTACAATTTTCACGTAAATCATTACTAAAATGTGTATTTATTGTATTATTATTTACAATTTATATTTACAGGGACTGCAATTTACTTTTAACTGGAAACGCAAAACTCAATCCAAGATTTCCTTTCGAAATAACAGAACAAATCGTTCCACGTTTTCTTCTCTTGATATTTTTAACATTTTTCGGCCTTATTTTCAAAAACACTAGTTTGTAATATACGCGTTTGACAGCTGCTTATTAAAAGCTGAATTCTGGTTACGATGATAACGGCCACGTGGTGGCGATGCTTCTTTAGCATATAATACACAACACTTTGCGTAAAGTAACGTTAACTTAGGTTTTCAGTTGTAAAAAAATTGTCATTTTGAATAATAATCACTTTATTTACAGATCAACCATTTAGGTACATAGTGGTCGTAGATAAAACATATTATGTGTTAGGGTGCTTTTTTGGAAAAAAAATTACTCCTGCCTCAACATTTTATTGTAAAAGTCAAAAAAATAATATCCTTTAAGTTTAAGCTCTCAATAGCTACTTTTTCCGTAGCATCGACAGATTTCCCATTGAAAATACACGTAAACTTGGATTACTCAGCGCCATTTTATGCTACCGTTTCGTTCATAGAAGCATTTTAAATTTTTGTATAAAATTGTTGTTTTTTGCTGTTATTACATAAAAATGTAAATTACAAATTTAAGATTATTATTTCTTGAGATATTTAGCTTGACTTATTGGTGTTAAGTAATTTGCACGGATTATCTATATAAATTAAATGATTTTAATATATAGTAAATTTATTATAAAATTTTGCGCCCTGGGTCTAATAAAAATGTTTTGCCCTTACTTATCTAATAAATTCAAAGAAATTTCACTAATTAACAAAAACATTTTACTTAACCATAAACATTAGGGTTGTAGTATTTTTCGACATTTTTTTGATTTTGTAGATCACATATAAATAAGTTTAAAGTATTTGAGTTTCAACAGAAAAAAGTTTTTAGAGGTCACTCAAGAATTTTGTAAAACGAAACTTTTTTTTCTCATAATCTTCGGCTTCTCAGTGAGAAGTTCTCAGTATTTTTTTTGTAGCTCGTATATAAAGATTATACAATTTTAAGTGAAAATAGTATAATTTGGTCGCTCAATTTAATTTACTTTTAAACTTTTTTGCAATACATCTTGCTTTTCAGTTTTACTGTTATGTTACTATTATAATATACAGTATACTGTTTTATATTTAATTGACTGTATAGTATTACACTAATTTAAACTAATAGTTGTTCGTAGTGGAAAACAATATTCTTATGTTAAAAAACCTTTACGCCTAAGTACATCGGTGAAAAGAATCAATTCCTGCAAACTAGTATTTGTACTATGCATAAATAATAATACTATTGCTACAATCACGGTTGTGATATAAATTTTTTTTTTATTAAAACTGATTAATACAGTAGTTATTATTAATAATTATTATTACACGAAAAATAACAAATGGAAAAAGCTCTTTTGGTTTCGGTAAAAAAATTATTTACGAGTCATTTTTATTAAAGGCCAAATTAGTTAAGGGATGTGTGAAACCAATTAATTTTTTAAACATTTATCTCTAAATAAAAATTGTAATAAAATAAAATTATTAAGTAATGGCATAAATTAACATAACTAATCCTAAACAAATATTGAATACAAAAAAATATTCATATAATACAATTTTGACCATAATATTCAAAGCAGCTTTTCCGGGACTAATTATTTGATTTATTATTTATCTAGACTACCAACTTTACAGTATTATCAAAATTTTTACCGGATCTATCAGGATAGTATGAAAAAGACATTAAAACGTTACTTTTTTTTACAAAATAATGCTCATGGAAAAGACCTTTCTTTAAGCTCTTTCATACTAAAACCGAATATATCTATATATATATATGGGGCGTGGCCTCGCCTCCCTCCAACGCGCGACACAGTAGCTAAGCAAATAGACTGCATCGATAATGAGTTTTTTTGCATTATTATCATTTAATTTTTTAAGTCCTTACCTGCTCGACCTTTCGTCATGTCGTTTATTACACAAGCAACTGTGACGCGCCTTGGAGGGAGGCGAGGCCACGCCCCATATATATAGATATATTCGGTTTTATTCTAAACAGGCTGTATGTACTTTTTTCACCAATTTAAAACTTATGGACATAAAACATAATTTTACAATTTAGATTGTTAAGAATGTCAAGAACAGATAACTTATACAGGTAACACGATCGAATTCCAACTGACGACTTACGGGTACGTGATGCACGGGCGGGGGTGGGAGGGGCTGGCTTGTTCAAATACCCCTATGTGAGGCGCTACTCAAAAGATTAAATAAATTTTAATGCAAAGCAAAGGTCTTTTTACTCTATTTGACTGACTCTAAGGGAAAGTATATTATTATTTGAAACTTACAGGGTAATATTTTTTTGTTAAAATAATATTTTACGTGAGTGAAAACAAATTTATTAAAAAGCACCCTTATTATGTTTATATACAATAATATTAGTTATAAAATATATTATGTTGAAAATACATTTAATATATATTAAAAATTAATCAAAACCCTAAAAAAGAAAAAGTCTTTGAAAAAGTTAAAAATTAAAATGCAATATTGGCATTTTCAAATTGATAAAATTAAAATAAAAACCAAAATATTGACAAACACTCAGAATAATGATATATCACCTCCTGGTGATGTCCAAGTCAGTTTTTGTATGGTCCTATGTGAAAAAAATGTACCTTCTGGAATAAGATTATTTATCATTTTCCTTAACTTCTTCTTTGTCCTGATTACAATATTACACTTTCGCATTAATGGCATAAAGAAAGACTTTTTTCTACTCATATTATGGAATATGACTTTTATCTATGGAATGACATATATTCCGTAAAGTGTTACAGAAGGAAATATTCTATCATCTGATGACAGAATAAACACTCGTGGCTACATCTGGCTTTTATTATCTTTGGAAGTCGGCTTCTTAGAAGTATTTGGTGTTTTTATGAATTGACTTTTGGCCGCATAGATTGTTCAAATACCCCTATGTGCGGCGCTACTCAACAGATTAAATAAATTTTAGTGCGTGATAGCAAAGTTCTTTTTACTCTATTGGTCAATCGATGCTAAATATTTGGAAGCCACGCGTTTTACCACAGATTGACCAATAGCATTTGTGTTATTTACGTGCTTTTCGCGTGCAGTGGTGATTTTATCAATGTACTATAGTCATGTACAATTACAAAAAGTCAATATTTCG